CTCTCTCTCTCTCTCTCTCTCTCTCTCTCTCTCTCTCTGTCTTTCTCTGTCTCTCTCTCTCATTCTTCGTAGCTCTCCAAGACGCAGCCGATTGATTCGCACCGTAATAATCGAGCAGGACGAATAGCGTCCTTCTTGCGACTGAAGCTCTTCCCACCTGGCGGCCATTCAGTCGCTGGACAACGGAAAGCACCACCGTACGCGCGCGCCGTGTGGTTATAATAATTCCGGCTAGCGATGGCACCCCGAGATACCCTCGCACACTGAGTATCACGCGGTACCGTATGAACGCGCGCGAGTATCTTCCGCGAGTTATTGTTGCCCGGCAACAAGCTTCACGCGCCGAGGTATCAATTCGTTTAAACGAGCTCCCTCTCCCTCTCTCTTTCACTGCATCGCACGGTCGCAGGGAATGAAGCGAGTGCCGTGAAGTTTCAGCGAGGTAGCAAGTAACGAGATGCTTATAGCTGTCGGCTTCTCCCGCGCACGAGATAAATCAATTCTCCGTTCGATAACACGTTAAGTGGATGTGTCACTCCCGCGCGACGTAATACGTTATTTAAAGATGCCCCGCGAGATAAATGGCGATTCGCCGTGAGGATTAAAATCTGTACCGTCGGTACCTAACAAAAGACGGCGGAAAAGTTCCGCCAGACGTATCTTCGCGTACTCTCCACCGAGACGAAATTATTCTTTCACGATCGAGTGTCTCGAAGATCTAAGCAAGTCCTTCTTTCCGCTAGTGATGACCGTGTTTCTCGCGTTGATTTTTAATATCCTCAACGTAAGATCGATATACTATTTATTTCGCGTCTTTTGCATCGAAATGCTGTTTAATTCTTTCAACGACAAACACACGCGCGAAACAGCGCGAGTGGCACTTCCAGGATCAAGCGTATTTCAAGGAAGAAATTTACAGCGAGCAAATATCAAGTCATTTCAAAGCGACTCACCGTTGATATGCATTTGTGACTCGGCGAGATAAATTCCAGACCCCGTTGTCCCTCGCCACTGAAGCACTTCTGTATGTTGCTCATGAACTTCCGACGGATCGCCTTGAGGGAGTAGACACAGAGGGCTGAGTGCGGACGCGGCACGTCGCTGTTGGGCCCGTCGCTCTCGGCGAACACGGCGAACAGCACGTCGTCCTGCGCGGTGATTCCGAGGTCGCCGGCGAGCACTGAGCCGGCCTTACCAACATAGGCTGCCTGCACCAGATTGTAGATCCTCTCGTCGCTGGTACAGTTGATTGGTATCTCCGTGTACGAGTAATAATGCTCGTCGTCTTGGCACACGCGCACCAGCTTCGACAGGTAAATCGGCGTCTCTGTGTTCTTCATCTGCGTGGTGAGGAAGTAACTGAAGCCGCCGCTGCTGAAGCCGTAAATGTAATTGATAGGGTAGCGTTCGCGCGACAACGAGTTTACATACATCCTCGTGCCGGTAGTAACCGCCGCTTCGGCGATGTTCAACATCTTGTCCTTGTCGAGAGAGCGTGAGCTCACCGCTGGCACCTCCGAGCGATAAGGCGAGTTGCCGGTGAAGGTCACGCCAACATACATGACTTGAGACACTGGCGGATTAGGTGGACCGGGCGCAATGAACGCCACCGTTGATGCGGTCGCGTTATTCGCCACGACCGCCTCCTTTACTTCCTGCACGACATCCGATATGTTGTGCAGGTTACGCACCGTGCACATGCCCTGGAAGAGGCTGCCGCAAGATATCAGCCGCGTAGTGGTATAGTCGATCACCAAGGCCTTGTTCACGTTGTCGACCGGCCGCTTCTGCGCCTCGCGAGGGCAATCCAGCATCGAGCACGCTGTGGAGTCGCCTTTCGGCCCGGTCACCTCCTTCACGACCAACAGTAAGTCCGGCGACAGCTGGTAGAGTCGATTCACCGCGCCCACGTACACCCGGCCGGTGTTCTTATCCACCACCAGGTGATTCATACGCTCCACCTCGGAGTCGTGGAACTTCTGCACTATGTCGGCCGGCAAGGCGCGCGCTGTTGGTAACGGCAGTGTCGACAACAGAAGCAGCGTCAGGCTCGGGCACAGTAGCAGTGCACGATACCACCAGCTACGTCGGCGCGGCTGAGACGCCGACCGCGTCGTCCTCATCGTCGTCCTTGTTGTTGCTGTTTCTGCTGCTGCTGTTCTTATTGTAGTTGTTGCCGTCCCCGTCGTCGCTGCCGGGAAGACTGACATTGCCTACTCTACTTCCGCGCTACGGACTCCGTCGCGCCTTCCTCCTCCACCACCACCACCTCCTCCTCCCCCTCCTCCTCCGCGCTACCCGACGATCCTGGCGGAGGCGGTCTCCTCTTCCTCGAGTTTCGCCCAGGCCTGTAAAAGATCAACCGGCGATTGTCATCTCCGACAGTTAAAGTGGCTAAATACAACCGAAGCACCCCAAAGTGAACCTCGGATCTATTTCACATCCGCGATGTCTAGGAGGGACGATAAGGATGGGAACTTATTTGTTAGTGCTAGAGAGTAATGGCCATGTGAAGAAAAAGTCGTTGTTTACGAAAGAGTGACTCGGGATTGTTGTTTGCGAATTCATTTGCTCGCTCGCGGTTTGTATCTATCGCTCCAAACTCTGCGCGATTTGCGCGATTTGCGGTGCTATTACGTCCCCGACATCTAGTCAGTTTCATAGACGAAATTATGTCCGCTCCCACGTTCGTCCCGATCCTTTTGTGTCTCGCTTCTCTCGTCCAACAGACGTTCGGTCGCCTTAATATAACCATTATTCGTAGTACACGTTACGTGAAGAGCAATATTACATGCACGAGACAGCGTTCACCGTGCATAATTGTAACGATTATCTGCTCGGACTCAAGGTGAGAGCACCTCTTGCATGCGACGTAATCTACTTTCGATCGAAGGGAAAGGTGCAATTAGTCCAACGACACAGAACAATTATCGCCGACAACTGGCAATATAAGAATCGAGTATAATGATGACGATAATAACGATGATCATGATAATAAATAACGATAATAATGTGACGTTGGAAACCGCGCTTCTGGGAATTTCGCTGAAAGTAACCAGGCGCTTACGTAAAGCATGAAAGAGACAAATAATACGACACAAGAGAGGGAGAGTATTGATAATTAAGCTTCTTGTCTCGAACGAACGAAAGCGCATCGCCGTAATGTCAAAGGCAAAGGCCTCCAAATGACGTCTCTCTCTTTAATGGAATGTAAGTACTTGAGTGCGATCGATGCTTCTTGCCGATCGCTCGCAAAAGTTCACGTAGTACTTGCGTAGAATCCGACGAACGCGTAGCAGCACGAAAGTAACGAGATCGCGGCGGTAGCAGCAGCAACGACGATGGCGGCGGCAACGGCGGCGGCGAGAGGAGGGAATGTACGATTTATCGAGCGGGGAGAAAACCGGGTGCCTTTGAAACGTGGCCCCCGACGCGACTCCCTCCCCCTCTTAAGAAAATGAAACGGCCGACCTCGTGCAGCCGGCAAGAGAGACCGCGCGCGTTGGGAAAAGCGAAGGGTGGCGAAGGGAAAAAAACGGGGCGATCGTCTCTCTTTCGCTCTCGCGTCTCTTATCGCGACGCCGATGGTAACTGCCGATCGGGAACAAAAGTTTTCTTATTTCCCAAAGACCCATTTCCTCCTCCCGAGCGGGGGGATTACCCCCGCCACTGCACCGCCGTCGATTTTATCCGATGTCAATCTCGGTTCATAACGCTACCCGCTCTCCCTCCCCCTGCCCCTCCCTCCGCTCCCTTCACGAGGAAGATTAGAAACATCTGCGTGCGAAAATCTCGCGTATTCTCGTGCGATCTTTAACGATAATTCGGTTGAGCAGTCGACGGATATTTCTACCTGTTTCTCTCGATATGAACTATCGAACTCCAGTAAACTCAAATAGACTCAAATAGAAAATACTTCAGTATACTCAAATAGACTTTAACTTCAATTAAATTACTTCAATTAAATAACCAACGTCATTATGTCGAGATGTCGTTTTTTAAAATACAACTTGTCACGTGGCGATTATACATTGACAAAATATTGAGAATTTTTGGAACTGACTAAATTTTCAAATGAAATTTAATTAACATTAATAGTATAAAAGAATTTAGGTCAATGTAATAAATTTTCACCATTAACTACATTAACATCATGAAAGATTAAAATTGATCTTTTACCTAAAATAACGTAAGAAAATTAAATTTCGCGCGAGCAAGTTTAGCATATGATATTCACTGTTTGCCGACTGGGCTATTAAATTAACGTTGAAACATTCGTTTTCGTAGAACAAACATTTTTAAACCGTGTAAGGGAAATTTATTCAATTTCTCTATATTTATCTAATAGAGAAACTTGAAATATACTATCATGTACGTCCAAAATATCCTGTGGAAAGTTGCTGTGTGTGTGTGTGTATACAAAAATAGAAAAATATCATTCCATATTTAAGAAAAGCGATTTATTTATTTTCCATTTTTGACGTAAAGATTATCTTTGCAATATGTCCCTAATAATAGTCTTCAAATATACTCTTCACGATTTTTAGAAAAGCTTATTATCATGTATTCAAAAGAAAAATTTATTCTCTTCACGAAAATATCACGAATTTCTTTACTCAAGAAAAAGTTGATTCCACTTTACGCAGTAAGCGAACCGAATATTTGTTTTAATTAAATATTCTTGACTAAAATGCTAAAACTTACTAGGACTTAAGATATATCTTGTATAAATTTGATGCTCATGATGAATTCGTGACAGATTTACGGATATATGTAAACTTTTAAAATAACGAAATACTCGAAACAAGTAACATTTATTCGAATGCAGTATACATTTTTCTGTGTACGTACGATTAATTTTCTCTTGAAAGAAACTCGATATTATGTACGAAAAATATGAAACTCGATTCTCCCGTCGGTATTAACAGTTCGACCATCGAGAGAACGTAATAGTTACTACGTTACGCTTCGCGCGTTTGCCTCGGAAAGGTCTCCTAAGAGCGATCGATGTTATCGATCTGTTTATTAACCGCGACCGTAGTTTCACGCTGTCTCCTATGTACGTGGACTATAGCAACCGCGATTCAACAATGCGCGTCATTTATCGAATGACGAATCGGGCAGGCCAGTATCGCGTAAAAATACTTGTTCCGTGGAAAGGAAAGAATAAGGTAAATTCACGCGATCTCTCTTGTATGAAGCATTCACGGTGAGTAAGCGGTCGAACCAGTGATCGCACGACACAAAGAAAGTAGTGCAGGTGGCACGTACTCCGATAAGTATCGAATCGAGCACGATAAACTTCGCGGTAACGCGCGAGCATGCGATTCCGCGCAGCGGAAAATCCACAGCGCAAAGGTGTGTTAAGAACAAAACCGCTTAATTCGGTGAAAATAATTTAGTAAGGCAGACGAACGGCTTTGATCCGCTGAGTACCGTTGCACTTATACGATATAAATTCCCTGGTATTCCGCGACGAAATTTATTTGTATATTACAAAAGTATGGTTTGACAAAGTTTTCCGTCATGAGAATAACATATGAGAAGAAACGCTCTGTGCATGTCTGGCACACCAAACTTCATAAATACAATCCTATTTCCTAACACAGTAGCAGATTTAACATTTTTGATCGAGGGGAAAGAGCGCATAATGTAAAATATTCGTACATCGTGACTGTTGATTACTTGAAAAATCGGCAATTCCTGAAATAATCAGCTATAATGCATAAACATTTTATACATAATGTATCTCTCACTCTTTCAAATGTCACTATGCTAGAGAACGAGACTGTGTTTATGAAGCTTGGTGTACATTTCAATTCATTCGACATTCAAAAATACACGTCGGTCCCAGTGTAACGCGTAAAACGTGCCGCTGTGCCAAAGTCAGCGAAAAGGAATGTCACGTAATTGGCTCTTCGACTAAACGTTTAGCTGTTCAACATTTTAAAATAACAAGCCGTCGGATCTATCGATGTGACGTCGCCACTCCGACTTGGAATACGCAAACACGCATGCCGCTATCGCACACACGATACGAGAGGTGCGAGCTCTCCGGTAGCTAACCGGATATCTGATGAACAGTACGCGTGCCTTTCTTCGTGAATTCCCATTGTGTTGAGAAGCGGCGACACGCACCTTGATGCAGGTTAAAACGGTAATTAACGAGTGTCTTAATTGCTCCCGGCAGTTTACACCGCGATCTCGCCGAGGCGATACGCGACGGAGACACCTCTCGTTTCCGACGAGCCGCGCTATTCGAGAAAGTCAAACACGCGTGAAACTACTAGGCTAATTAGCGTGCAGGCTCTAGGCGATGCGGTACTCAAGGTTAAAGAGAGGAGGGGCTGCCTAAATTCACCGAGATACGGACACTTGCATCATGTGACATCGAAGAGCATCAAGTGTATCGGGTGTGTCAAAGAAGAGAGTCGCGGCAACCGAAAGGAAAATGTATTATTATATTAGATTGTTGCGGATGAAATACATATAGCGAATTTTTCGGAATGTAGTTGACTGCTATTTTTAGAATAAAAATTTTTCTTTTGAAGTTTGAACTTGGACATAACGGAGGCAACCAAGAATGTCGACACAGCATTTGAAGCTGACGCAGTCAAGCAAATGAATCATACAGCGATGATTCAAAAAATTTTGATAAAATATATGAACCTTGAAAATGAATCTCGCGGATCAAACAGTGTTTAGTGAGTATTTGACATTTTTGCTTTTTTCTCCAATGAAGAAGGCGTCCGGCAATTTCGAAGCACACTCAATACAAAACTGAAAAATAAACCACGAAAAATCGCCGACTTTTTGCAGATTCTTAATTGCGGTTATCCGCACAGACAGATTTATACTCGCCGAGATAAATGACGACACAAAGCGAGCGAGACTCGTCGTACGCGTGCACATCGCGAATCGCCAGCGCGCTCGACCTTAATGCAAACGTGTTCTTGCACGTGGCCGTTCTGCACTCTAAAAAGGAGAAAGAGAAGAAAAAAAAAGCGCGAGTCGAAGGCGAGGTCGTCTACAGTGTGAGAAGCGCAGCTCAAGAGACAAACTGCCTTTTCAAGAAGCGGCGGCGGCCGCCGCGTAACGAATGCGATCGCTCGACAAACTTGCCTCGGAAAAAAAATATAGTGCAGCAGGCGCGGAAGAAGGGGATGGTCGATGAACGGGCATGAACGTTGGGAGAGGGGATCGGAGAGGGGGGGAAGGGGTATGATGTGCCGTGGTGGAAGATCGAAATGCGAGAACGGTGCATCGCCCGGCGATCCTTTAAACCTTCCGCCCCTTTGCTCACCTCCCAATCCTCCCCCCATAGTTGTAGGTTCTTCTGATTCCTCGT